ACAGAACATGCTGCAGCCAGTTAACTGAGTAGGCTGTAAACAACTAGCTAGTTAAGCTGTACCCCTGTGTCTGGTGGATTGACTAGGCTGTAGCTAATCATATATTTTTTTAACCATACGATTTATTTTTATTTTTTTTAGTCATACATGACAGCAGAATGTATTTTGACATATAATACATACATGGAATGTACATACATCAATCATAATGTCTATTCTATTCTGCTGCCCTTCCTATCCCTCCTACTCCTCCCCTCCTCTCCAATCCTTTCTCTCTATCCAATCTAATGTGACACACTTTTTTTTTCTTTTTCTCATCACAACATCATATATGTATTCTGTATAACAATGAGGTTCTCCTTCCATCTCCGGTGCAACTCCCCTTCTCCCTCTTTTTCCCTCCCACCTCTCTTCCCTATTTAGTGGTAGTCTTCTTCTCATGCTCTTCCTCCCTATCCCATTTTGAGTCACCCCCCCCCTTATATCGGAGAAGACATTCAGCATTTGTTTTATAGGGATTGGCTAACTTTACTTAGCATGATCTGCTCTAATGCCATCCATTTGCCTGCAAATGCCATGATCTTGTTATTTTTTAGTGCTGAATAATATTCCATTGTGTATAAACACCACATTTTTTTAATATTTATTTTTTAATTCTCGGCGGACACAACATCTTTGTTTGTATGTGGTGCTGAGGATCCGCACGCATTCCAGGCGAGTGCGCTACTGCTTGAGCCACATCCCCAACCCAAATGCCACATTTTTTTAATCCATTCATCTATTGAAGGGCATCTAGGTTGGTTCCACATTCTAGCTATTGTGAATTGTGCTGCTATAAACACTGATGTGGCTGTGTCCCTGTAGTATGCTCTTTTTAGGTCTTTTGGGTATAGTCCAAGAAGGAAAATAGCTGGGACAAATGGTGGTTCCATTCCCAGCTTTCCAAGGAATCTTCATACTGCTCTCCAAATTGGCTGCACCAATTTGCAGTCCCACCAGCAATGTATGAGTGTACATTTTTCCCCACATCCTCACCAGCACTTATTGTTGTTTGACTTCATAATGGCTGCCATTCTTATTGGAGTGAGATGGTATCTTAGAGTAGTTTTAATTTGCTTTTCTCTGATTGCTAGAGATGGTGAGCATTTTTTCATGTATTTGTTGATTGATTGTATATCCTCTTCTGAGAAGGGCAGAGGAGCCATCCCGGGGCTTGAATTAAAGGTAAATTGTGTGTCTGAGTTTTATTTGATACCTTAGGAAATTCACTCAAGTGACCTCTAGTTTGGCTGCCCGTGCTGGTAAGGGGCAGTACCCCCTCAGGGATTGATTGCCTGATGCAGGTGAACCTCCCCCTCAAGCTCTGCCTAAGATCCCCCACAGCACCTGAGATGGGTGTGACCTGCCAAGATGTCAATCAATCTGCAGATCACAAGACATCACCAAGCAAGACTCCACCCTTGAGGCCTTATCCCTGCCTTTGATGTCCTTGTTATAAATAAACCAAACATTGGCTCACTTGTCCTCTCCTTCTAGTGTGGAAGCTGGACCCTTAAGGTTGCAGAGCCATCCCACCCTCAATTCCAGAATTATTTCTGTGTCATGTGATTTTTTTCCTTGTACTTCACAGACAGCTCACTACTCGTGGGGGGACACAGCTTATCTTGGCTGGGCATGTCACGAGCAAGATGTGTGGGTCATGGCAGCAGCCTAGTGACAAAGATTGGGAGCCAGACTCCACAGTGAGTTCCAGATTTAGGTCCAGTCTAATGATTCATTTCATTTCTGATGCCAAGCACCAGATCCCACAGATTAAGGGCTCATTTTCATGATTGCTCTTAATCAAGTCCAAACTTGAGGTCCCAGGCCTCTTTTAGTTCTGACTGACTAGCTCGCTCCTTGGATGCAATCATTTCCTAGAATGATTTGCAGAACTCATGAAAAGAGTTTATTTTCTCTTGCCAATCTATAACTACAGATAAAACCGTTTTGAGTCACAAGAAAGAGGTGCATAGGGTGAGGCACCTGGGGGAGGGGGAGGCAGTGCAGTTTCTCTGCCCTTGCATGGCCCTCCCAGCACCTATCAAGGTGTAGTGTTGTGTTCACCAACTTTGAATGCTCAAAGGGATTTTTATGGAAATTTCACTATGTATGTGTGGTTAATGACATTTACCCTTTGACTGAGCTCCATTTGTGGCTCCTCTGCCACTTCCTAGATGTCAAAGGAGAGTGGGGCTGATGGTCCCAACTCCTCCAGAAATGTTGTAGAAGAAGAAGTGTTACTTTCACAACACGGTGAATGTAGCAATGTCACTTCTGTTGTACACGTTAAAAAAGGCCAATTTTGTGAATTACATATCAAAAATATTATTTTTCTTTTTTTCTTTTGCAATGGGGAATGAACCCAGAGCCTGGCATATGCTAGGGAAGAATGCTACCCCTGAGCTACATCCCCAACCTCTCAAAATATTTTCTAAACATTATGTTAAAAATATTTTTCATGGGCTGAGATTGTGGCTCAGTGGGTGCTTCTCTAGCATGTGTAAGGCACTGAGTTAGATCCTCAGCACCATATAAAAATAATACATAAAATACAGCTAAAAAAAGCCATAGCCTTAAAAATTTTCTTCTCATGGCAAAAAAAGAAAACCAGAAAAAAATTAGAAATATTAGAAAATATTAGCAAAAAAAAAAAAAAAAGAATCATGAGTATATGAATAATACTTAAATGATGAGGGGGAAATGATGGGAAAATCCAATAAAATTGGGCAAAATATTTGGATAATTTATCAAAAATGTAATTGCTGCCCCTGTCCAGCATGGGCAATTGAACAAAAGTCATTCATGTAAATTTGGGGTGACACAAAATACCATGCAGACATGGAATACATTTTTATAAGCTTCAGGATGGCTTCCCTGACTCCGGGCCTCAGGCTCCCATGGGGGGCGGGGGCAATAGGAGAGGCTGATGAGAGAGAGCGAGAGAGAGCGTGCCCCATGTATGTTCTGGAGATGGCTTTTATTGAGGGATGCTACTGCTTAGAATATTCTATCCAAAAAAAGGGGGCAAAGGTAGGATTACAAATGAACAGGTGAGTATAATTCAACTCCACCAGGTAAGGCTTACTCCTGGAGCCACGCCTCATTATCTGAGCGGAGGTAAAGCCAAGTTATTGCAAATAATTGTTCGGTATCTCTTGCTCAGGACTTAAGGTGTGTATTTCCAAAGCGGCTCCCAACATATAATAATGACCTTTGAAAACCAAAAGGTTTCCTGTTTCATTTACAGTACAGAACATGTATGTTAAAACTACAATTAGATACCAGTCTACCTCGCCCATTCTGTAAATTAAGCTAAACACCTTTTCACACAGTTCTCTGCTGAGTCCCCATAGTCATTCCCTGTCAATTCCTTGAAGATCATATTGAAAGACCCCAGCCCAATAACTTTAGGCCCAGTAATAAATCACCAGGGCTTGCTTCCGCACCTGCACAGACGTCAGATGTATTTTTCAGAAAATCAGTTAAGTGTAACCGATTAAGAAAGGACAGGATGGTTGGGAAAGGAACCGAAAGGACAGGATGGTTGGGAAAGGAACCGGCACGGTTGGGAAAACGGGATCATACAATGAAAAACCATACAATGAATAACAAATGGTTTTTATGTGGTTTTTCCAGGAACCTATAGTGAAAAACAAGTTTACCCTTTAAGTGACCTATATGCTGGATTCAAAAGAGCCAATGAGATACCTGTTACTGTGCTAGGAGGGAAACTGACCACTGTACCCTATAAAAGATCTGTACCCCAAAGCCCGGTGTGCCAGTTCACCAAAGCTCCGGCTGAGGTTTCGCTGAGCACCCACAGGTGTCTGTGTCTGAATAAACCTCTTGCGTTTGCAGCCAGTGCCTCGTGCGTCTTTCTTGGACAGGGAATCGGTGGGTCTTTCAATATCAAATTTGTTTTAATAACCCTGCAAGGCTTAAAGGTATTTACTCCGTCCATGGAATAATTTTTTTTGAGGAAGAGGGAAAACATGAGCACTGAGCTCAGTTCACATAAATTCCTATGAGCTCAGAGCAGTATAGCCGCCAAGTTAGCTGAAAAGGAAAGGGCTTCTTTAAGTCTTCTGGGAAATATAGTTCAGACGCTTGTGGACACGCATGTACTTCCGCTCTGACAGGCCGGTCTTGGGAATTCTGGGAAATGTAGTCCAGGCGATCTGTGGCCTGCGGGTGTCTCTGCCTACAAGGGCAAAGGCCTTGAATTCTGGGAAGTGTATTCGGGAAGGTGGGCTGAGTTATAGATATTTCTGCTCCTTGAGTGGGAAGTCGCTGTCTTTTTTTTTCCGTGGTAGTTAAGATCAGTTTCTTGGGTCTTGGGAGCCCTTCCGAATTTCCTGGCCCCCACCCCCGGCACCCTCCATGACCTGCCTTCGGTTGAGAGGAAAGGAAGCCTCCGCGGAGAGCAGGGCTTTGGGGCGGTGACGGCCGCAGTTTCCGTTTTCCCCGAAGCCTGCTCGCGTTTGGGGCTCTCTGTGGTGGAAGCCCCGGGTTCGTGGCCTGGTCAGGGCACGTGTCGCCTGGTTTGAGGGTTTCCAGGGCTCTCGGCTCGCCTAATCCGCCCCCCTCCACCGCTCGCGCGGCCACTTCCTCGGTCGCCCACGTTGGGGACTTACCCGATCTCGGGGGGCCTCATTGTCGTTCTTTAGAATGTACCATCCTAATCGCATGGTTTGGAATTGCAAGAGGGCCTTCAAAGCAAAGACTTAAACAGTTACGAGCTCCTAGTGAATGGTGGCTTTTCTCCTCCCTGAATGGGCGGGAGGCCCCGGGCTGGGGTCAGAGAGCTCCTGCTGCGGGGTTTCTGGCTCCGGTCTGGCTCTGCAGGAGCTCTCCGTTCATTCTGGTGCCTACTTTCTTCTCTTTTAGGAAGGGTGGGGTTGTCTCCAACTTGAGCAGAGGGAGGCCGTGATTGAACTTTTTTGTCCAAGCCTGTGACACAGCACGCTTTTCTCCCCAGCCTGACTGAGGGGAGGTAGAGGTAGTGGCTTCTTGACTACTGACAGCAAAGCTCCTGGTGAGTGCGACCTGACTTTTTTCTCTTACAGGGATATGCAAGTCTATTATAGGACATGGGCTCTGGCCTGAATTTTGACCTTAATTGCTAACTTCATTTTAAGGACTCTAGACAAATAAATACATGTAGGCCACCCTATGGCTCTGTGGAGAGATACAGGTTTTTTTTTCTTATTTTAAATATGAGGAGATTGAAGTGCAGGGAGTATTTGTTACTTGATCATACACAACCAGGAAGAGTGAAAGTTAGGGTTGGAACTTAGGCAGGCCTGGTTTATAGCCTGAGTTCATAACCTCTCAGATACATTCTCATTGAGCCATAGAACTTTTGGAATTAATTGGAGAATAAGTTGGGACTCGATAGTAGAGACCATGATAACAAGGCTCATGGATTTTTCTTGAATTTTTAATAACACCCTCTTTTCCCTTAGTTTACCCCTAATGTTTTACATACTTATGGAATCATATCATTGTGGAGTATTCAGAAACATTAGGAGGAAAAAGTTTTGTTTTTTGTTTTTGGTTCCAGGGATTGAACCCAGGGGTGCTTAACCACTGAGCCACATCCTTAGTCCATTTTATTTTTTATTTTGATACAGAGTCTGGCCTAGTTGCTTAATGCCTGGCTTTGAACTTGTGATCTTCCTATGTGTTCGCCACCATGCCTGTTTGAGGAAAAAGCTTTTGACTGCCTGTGAATCCAGCATAGGATAGTAACTGTTAAACTTTGAAAGCATTTTCTTTAGTGGTGCCTTGTGTGCATTAGTAGTTATTTATGAAAAATGTTATCATATTTTTTGTTTTCCTTTTTATCTGTTTTATCTGGAAATTTCCAAACATCTCCAAGAGAGTAAACTAGCAAATTGCTACATTATCATGCTCATTTTTATTCTTTTTCTTACTACTCTTTTGACTTTACTAATATTTAAGAAATTTTATATCATTTCAAATATATAGAAATTTGTGAAAAACCATAAGAAGCACCTCTCATCTTTTGGGAAAATTTACCACGTTTTGTCTGTTTGGTTTGTTTATCCTCCTCAGCCAAATAAATTCACTATGAATTCTAGAGATAGTGCATTTTTTTAGCTTTCTCCAGCAAGGAAGCCCACAGTCTAGGTATTCATCAATGCTTGATAAGAGGCATTTGGGAAGATCAAGTTATAGGGTTTCACATAATATGCTAGATAATTTTAAATACTAAACTTGATAATGTTATCTATGGAATATTAATATCAATTAAAAGACTACTAATAATTACTTCTGTTATCTATTAGATTGTGCTATGTAACTGCATGTTGTCTAATTGGCAGTCTCATATTTAAATCTGTTCTGGTTTTCATATAAAGTCCTTAGAACATTTTCCCTCAGGTCAAAGTTTAATGTATTGACTTTAGTTGCCATGTTTTTATGCTCTTTAAACTGGAAAGATTGGATAGGTTTTGTCTTTTTTTCTTCTTCACGTAACTGAAAAATATAGACAGATCATTTTGGACAAAGGTATTCATTGTAGTGTCTAACATGTTTTCTCTTTAGGTTTAGATTATGCATTTTTTTGGCAGGGATGCTACAGAAGTGGTGAAGGGTCCTTTTTATTGTGGCATGCCAGGAACTGAGTGATATTTGTTTGTTCCTGTATTGGTAATCTAAATTTGGTTTACTTGGCCAAATAATATCTATCAGATTTTTCCATCATAAAGTTCCCTTTACAAAAACAATCTTAAGAGCTGGGTGTGCTGACAAACATCTGTCTTCCCAATGACTTGGGAGGCTGAGACAGGAGTATCATAAGGTTGGGGCCAGCCTCAGCACTTAATGAAGCCCTAAACAACTTAGTGAGACACTCTCAAAAAGAATGGGATGTGTCTCAGTGGTTTAACACCCAGGGTTCAATCCCCAGTACCAAAAAAGGGGAAAAAAATTGTCATAAAGTTACTTTTGGGGAGATATTTTATTAGTGGATATTCTGTTGTAAAGAAAACTTCTCCTCTCCCCCTTTTTAATTCATTCATTCAAGTATATTCAATCAATGTGGACTCTGAATTCAGCTATTTAAATAACATGTAGGTTAATAATTGTTTTCCAACTTTTTGAGTTATATTTTACATATCACCATTTCAAGTGTACAATTCAGTGATCCTAAGGTACTTTAGATTAGTAGAACCTGAGGTTAGTAGAGTAACCATCATCTAACTTAGTTGAGATTGTTTTCTTTCCTCAGTTATATACTATATGCCACTTATAGTTAAACCTTATTCTCACCCCAAATCTGTAGCAACCTCTAATCTACCTTTTCTATACATTCATTTGCCCATTCTAGATATTTCATAGAATCATACTATATGTGCTCCTTCATGACTGGCTTCTTTCACTTAGTTTAATGTCCTCAAGTTAAGCTGTGTTATATATGTCAGTACCTCATCCTTTTTAGTTTCAGAGTAACATGCCCGTGTATGTGTATGCCCTAATTTGTTTATCCATTTATCCACAGGAGGGCATTTTAGTTGATTTTGGTTTTGCTTTATGAATAATGCTGCTGAGAGCATTCACATGCTAATCCACTGAACTGGAATGTGTTGGTGAGCAGCACCCTGGCCACCCTTTCATGTCTTGTTTTCTGCCTTCTGTGGCACTTTCTAGGCACAGTTCTGCTTTCCTGGGATCGACGTGCCTTAGGACTCTGCCTACTCCAGGAGGAGGAGGGAAAATGACCACATTCAATGTGAGTAAGGCTTGTTTTTCTCACTGTAAAAGTTCCATCTTGCAACTCATATTGTCAGGTTTTCTTTTTTGAAGACATTTGTTGGCCATAGACTTCCTTTGTTCACTCTGAGTTGACCTTGTTATTAATTCTTGTTTTATTTCATATTATTTACTTTATAGAGTAGAAGAACTTGTTTGAGTAGATAATTATTGCACTTCATACTTCCATGCTCACATGTTTACCATTTTTGTCTTTGTGTACTCTTCTTCATATGTATATACAATTGTATTCCTATTGATGACACACCTTGAATTGTAAATTGCAATATTTTTTTCCTGTTACTGGGGATTGAATGCAAGGACACTCTTCCTCCGAGCTACAATCCCTACCCTTTTTACTTTTTATTTTGAGAGAAGATATCAGTAAATTGCTAAGGGAGGCCTGGAACTTGCTCTCTTCCTGTCTCAGCCTCCCAGGTTGCTAGGATTACAGGCAGTTTTAATTGTGTAAATTAGGATTACTGTAAGTTTAATTGTGCTGTTTTTATACACTGTAATGTTCATAATGTTACATGATATTCATCTTTTATGGTGTATTGTGCTTATACACATTTAATTGATTTAGGCATTTGACTTTTTTAAGCAACAGTGTAGTGGCGACTTTCCTATATATAGACTGTTCCCCCCAAATCAATATTGAAAACAGTGTATCAGGTATTTTTTGTTTGTTTGTTTTTTCAGCAGCATAATTTGAAGCTCAGTTTTGAAAAGGCATTTGGACATGTACCTTGTTAGCTGTTTTATGGATAAAGCATCCAAAAACTGCACCATAGGCTGTGTCTGCTGCTCCACACAAATATTCTTGAAGGTTTTTACCCAGGAAGAGCTGCACTCTGTGGTCCCCATGGCTGTGTCATTCTGTGTTTTAAGTGTTGCTTAAACAGCAAAACTGGGCACAGTTGTACACTAGACGGTTACTCCTCAGTAGTACTCTTGAGTGTTTGAAGTAAAGGTATAGGACTTTTTCATCACTGCGCTTCTGGTGAATCACAGGAAAATCTGTGTGTGTCATTGTGGGGGTACAGATGGCATGAGAGGGAAATTTGAGATGACCAAGTTTCAAAATCCAGAACAGTTTCCCACCCATCCTCTCTGCCTCCCAGTAAACATTGATAAGATTGAGGTCAAGTGTGTTTAATGTTATAGGAGATAGTGACGTTTAAGGATGTGGCTGTGGTCTTCAGTGGGGAGGAGCTGGAGCTGCTAGACTCTGCCCAGTGGAAGCTCTACCAAGATGTGATGCTGGAAAACTTCAGGAACCTGCTCTCAGTGGGTGAGTTTAGTTCCTCACTCTGATGGCGTTTCAGCTCCCAGAAGTGATTTTTGTATCCTTGGGTGTTCAAGTTTGAGTACGCAACGAGAACCTCAATTCCTAGTAAATTTTATCTAGATGTCACCTAGCATGTGTTTTAATCCTGAGTGTCTCTGCATGTTCCCAACCATTCAAACAAGATACATTCCACTTGATAAGGAAAGAGAAGTTTTGGATGATGAAGACAGCTACCCAAAGAGAAGGGAATTCAGGTATGAAGCAAGCAAATGTGTGTTCTTGTACTTGACTCTTCCATCTATTTTACTCTCCTAAGATGCTGGGCAGCAGCAATCAGGTCCCGGTCATCCATCCAACCATGAGAGTAAACATCTGATACTGTACAGTACTATATTGGGTAAAGGATGTGAGATAGTATTTTATGAACTAAGTTTTGTGTTAGATGATTTTTCCCAGATATAGATTAATATAGGTTGTTGTGAGAATGTTTAAGGTAGGCTAGGCTAAGCTCTGGTGTTGAGTTAGGTAAGTATATTAAATGTATTTTTTAACTTAATCATGGGCTTATCAAGGTATAATACCATTTTAAGTTGTGGAGCATCTGAACTTTTGTTTTCCTATCTCTCCCTTTTGCTATATAATCTCAAGGAAGGGGAAGTTTGTCTCTTTTGTTTATGCCTGTATCCTCACTTTGTAGAATAGTTCTGGTGTATTGCAGGTATTGGCAAACACTTAACCCAATGAATGAATTAATGGATGGGGGGACTTCACTGTCTCCAGGGTCATTGAAATAGCTAAGGAGTGCTACACAAACCAAATGAATCAGAACTGTTGGGGGGAGTTTTTCTTTCTTTTCTTTTTTAATCTTTTCAATCTTTGGCTGCTAATTCAATTTCAGCCTCCTTGGTTTTCCTCGACATGATTGTGCTGTACTATGTGCATTTGACCTGCTTCCCAGGAAAACTTCCCAGCATTCTTCCAGTGGCCACATTGAGTAACGCGCCTTTACTCTGAATTTTCCTGAGCCTGCTATAGTTCATTTATAGGAAGAAATCCTTCCTGATATCCACCTCTGAGGCAGCTCCCTAATCAAGGGAAAAGAAGTCTTCATTTCCTGAGGTCTCAGACAACACCCAGCTTTCAGGCTACCTTTCTCCTTTGAATGATTTTCTCTCTGCAGCCCTTTGTCTTCTCCAAACTCAAAGGCCCATCACTGCACCCAGGTTTTGCCTTCCTTGTGCATGAAAGGGAGCTGATGGACGTGGCTGAATGCTGCCTATATTTCTGCGCGTATTTCTTAAATACACAGTATATATATTTAATCAATATTTTAAACAAATGTAGTTGTTAATATGTTAAAGAATATAGATTTCACACAATTTTTCCTTTATTATATAAGAGATATAATTTTGTATTTTGAACTGGTGAACTTTATACCCTGGAAGGAATTGGTAAACTGCTCTCTCAAAACATAAACTTCCTGAAAGAGATGCTTCCTTCTACTCATAAAACTTCTCTCTCTAAGTGACAGTATATTAAATATATCTGCATTCCCATGTGTATCAGTAGTTACCTATTTACCTGTTAATGTTTTCCAAGATTTGTCATTGGAAGTTAACATTCAATTTGAAACACTTAATTCAGGACTTGGTACTATCCTGACCAAAGTTTTTAGTGTTTTATGAGCATGAGAAATACATCTTTCACCATAACCAGGATGGATGTTTTCTCTTTGTGTAGCTATACCTGGGAGACTTCAGAAGGCATTTCATGTAATAACAACTTTATTGCTTGTCACGAAGCTCTGATAGTTTCTATTCTAGTCCTTTTTTCTAAATCCTTACTATAAAGTTTTAAATTTATTTCATAGCTTCCTAAAGGTTTGTAGTCTTCGGTTTGAAAATGGTTATAAAGGCATAATTCCATCCTAAATTTTTGACACTCTATTTTCAAAGAGTGCAGTAGTTGCTGGTAGAACCAACCAAGGCATAGCCCCTCACACTTTTGTTTCACACCTGGTAATCCTTGCCACCTTTGTTTTTTTTCATTTGGAGCATCACCTTTTTATAGATATCTGGTGTGGGCTTTCAGATTCCTGTCACAACTGATATGTTCACACACACACCACTCTGCCTTGTGTGTGTATGTGTGTACTACTAGGCATTGAACCAGGGGGTACTCTACCACTGAGCTACTTCCCCAGCACTTTTCAGTTTTTATTTTGAGACAGGATCTCCTAAGTTGCTGAGGCTGCCTGGAACTTGAGATTCTACTGTCTCAGCTTCCTGTGTTGCTGGGATTGTGGGTGTGCACCACCATGCATGGCTTGTCTGTCCTTTTCTTATTTTACAAAACCAAGTTATCGTCCATGTTAATTTGGTATAAGATTAGGTATGCATGTTATAAAATTCTTGTGCAGAAATACTTTGAAGATTTTAACACTCCCATGTATTTGATATTTATGAATGTCATGAATTTAACCAACTACAAAGTTTAGAGAGACAGTTTATACCAAGACTGCACTCACTTTATACCAACTAAAATTTGTAGTTTCCCAGCACTACCTTCACATTGACTAATTCACACAACTTTGCTTTATTTTTATAGAGGGACTAGTGCTATATTTGAAGTAGAAAGAATCAGAACTCACTGAATGGTTTTACTTTCATGGTTACAGAAATTTACAGGGAAAAGATGTGTATTACAATTTGCCTATAGGAAAATCCTATAGCACAGAGTCTAGAGAAGTACTGTGTATAAGTGGTTTTCCTCATACTCTTCCCATAGAGTCCAGGCATGTTATTTCCCCAGGATTAAAGTATGACATTGTACAGAGACCTGGTATTCAGAGTTGTTTTTGTGGCTCCATTCCATAGGCATCATTATATAAGTCTGACTGTTTGATAACTTCCCATGTGATTAATTTCAATCTCCTGGTCAGCTGATTCCACATGACCTAAAGCCCCACCTTAAATCACATTGTTAGCCTTTTTGACATGGGAACATCCCCACCCAAATGTGTATATGTCATAATAGTAAATCATATTGTTAGACTCTCCAGAGTGACCCATGACTCCCCAGGCAAATAAATAAATAAATAAATAAATAAAAGATCCTCCCCAAACTAGATATTACAAGGGCCTGGCGATTATCTCTCTGAACAAATCTAGACTCCTTTTGGTAAGGTTTCTTTCTTTCCTTCATGAAAATATACTAGAATATCCAACATAAATCCAAAGACACAAAGTATTAACTATGCCATTTTTTATTAATGTTCTGTTGACCAGTATTTCATTATATGCATGATTTATTATGATAATTTATAATTTAAGATCCTAGACTGCCTAGGAAATTCAGTAAAAAATATTAATAGGTTAACTCTTTTTATCACATTAAAATTTTTATCACATTAAAATCTTTTTATTTTTTCTTGTAAGTCACATTTGGGATTTGATGTGTTTTAAATAGTCTCATACAACCAGATACCATGGTGTACAATGAAAACAACATTTTCCTGTACAAAACCTGTATTCATTAAAGCCTCGTGTCCTTTTTCATGTTGAAAACTCTAACAGAGCCTTACATTGTCCACATTTCTGAATTCTCTGCCCTGATAGGAGGCAGGATCCAAACTGAAATAGAGACTTTTCCAGAAGCAGGACCACATGAAGAGTTATCTTGGCAGCAAATCTGGGAACAAATTGCAAGTGACTCAACCTTCAGTCAAGACTCAAGTATTCGCAGCTCTCAGTTCCCCAGCCAAGGTGGCTCACTGTGCCAGGACGGGCCAGGATTATCTCTAATTGACACAAGAAAGAAAGTTTACCTGGATGATGAGTGTAAGCAGTCCCTCAGTGATGTCTCCAACTTTGACCTTCAATGGTTATACTCAGGAGGCAAGTCTCATAGATGTCTTGAGTGTGGAAAAAGCTTCAGTTGTAGCTCAGGCCTTCGTATTCATCAGAGAATTCACATGGGATTGAATTGCTATAAGTATGATGAGTGTGGAAAGGAATTGAGTCAGAGATCCTCCTGGCTGCAAACTCATCAGAATGTGCATACTGTAGAGAAACCATTCAAATGTGAGCAGTGTGGGAAAGGCTTCAGTCGTAAATCTGTGCTTAATGTTCACTGCAAATTACACACAAGAGAGAAACCTTACAAATGTGAGGAATGTGGACAGGCCTTCATTCATGATTCACAGCTGCAGGAACATCAGAGAATCCACTCTGGGGAAAAACCATTCAAGTGTGACGTATGTGGTAAGAACTTCTGTGTTAAATCAACACTTCACAGGCATTTCTTGGTGCATACAGGAGAGAAACCATTCAGATGTGACACATGTGGTAAGAGGTTTCGTCGGAAATCAGCCCTTAATAGACACTACGTGGTCCATACAAGAGAGAAGCAATACAAATGTAAGGAGTGTGGGAATAATTTCATTGATAGGCGAGAGCTTTATAAGCATCAGATGGTTCATACAGGAGAGAAACCCTATAATTGTGAAGAATGTGGGAAGAGGTTTAGATGGTCCTCCTACCTTTTGAACCATCAGCGAGTCCACAGAGGAGAAAAACCATTTAAGTGTGAAAAGTGTGGGAAGAGCTTTACTCAGAATTCATATCTTCATTGCCATCTGAGGGTGCACTCCAGAGAAAAGCCCTACCGATGTTAGGAGTGTGGTAAGTGCTGCAACTAGAACTGTAGTCTAGACACGTATATGAGATTCCACACAGGAGAAAGATCCTATGCTAATAAGGAATGTGGGAAGAGGTATATCTGGGACTCCAGTCTGTTGACACATTAGAGACTACAGTAGAGACAAACAATTCAAATATGAGTGTGTGGGAAGAGATTTATTCAGAATTCACAACTTCCTTTCCATCAGAGAGTCCATAATGGAGAAAAGTCATGAAAGTGTGAGGAGTGTGGGAAGAGCTTCAGCTAGGCATAGACTCATTTGACCCATTAGAGACTCCTCAATAGAGCAGAACCATGCAATTGTGAAGACTGTGGGAAGAGCTTTGGACACACTTCATACATTAAAGACCAAGAGAAAGTCCACAGTAGATAAATGCCTTAGAAATCAAGGACTGTGGGAAGAGAGAAGCCAAGCAGGAGAGAAGCCAAGCAGGTATGGAGAGTGAGGTAATTGCTTTGGTCATCACTGAGATTTCAACTGCATTAGAGCACCCCTCAACCCCTGAGAATTACCTTGGAAATGAGATGCGTGTGGTGATGTTTTGTTTGTTTGTTGTTTTCTTAATATATATACTTTTAGTTGTCAGTGGACCTTTATTTTATTTATTTACACAGTGCTGAGAATTGAACCCAGTGCCTCACATATGCTAGGCAAGTGCTCTACCACTGAGCTACAACCCCAACCTGCGGTGAAGTCTTTAGTCAGTCTTTATAACTAGTCTCATTAGAAACCTCATAAATGGGGGTGGGGGTGATAAGCACTCAGTTTAAATTCATACCTTATACTTCATCAAAAATCCATGCTGGTGAAAAATGTTATCTGAGGAAATTTACAAGGGAAACCATTCATTAAGAAATGTTTCACCACAGCCAGTGGTCTCAGGACAGCACCCTTCTAAGTGGTGAAGTAAGGGTTTCATTCAGAAGTTTGACAATTATAGTTACCATTCAAAGATAGCCCTTAGGAAAAATAAGTTGGTTAGGCATTTACAAAAGTGTTGAGAGCCACAGCCAAGGGGCCCCAGCAAACTTCCAGCTGCCAGCAATCCAGCTGCCGGCTGATGATTGGCTCACAGCGGCCCCAGCAACATCTAGCTGATTGGCTCCTCGGCCCCAGCAACATCTAGCTGATTGGCTCCTCTGCGGTGATGCTCATTGGACTGTTTCCCTGCCCTTTCAGACCACGGAGCTGCTCATTGGGGGACTTTTTGGCTCTGCCCACGTGACCCAGCCAATCGGCCTCAAGAGCAGGAGGATTGTGGGAGGTGGAAAGAAGCTAGTGGGGGGAGAGACAGGCTTGTGAAAAGCCGGTGGTGGCAGTTGAGGCTCTGAGGGGTTTTTCCTTATTGCACGTTTTAAAGTTGGAAGGATACTCTAGCTTAAGTGGGGGATATTTAGGGGGAAAATATTTTGGCTCAAAATGTGTACTGCGCCAAGGCAGCTTCATTCTAAAAACACAAACCATTTAAAATAAACTTTTATATTTTGAAGCCAATAATCCTTTAACACAATGAATAGTTCATAATCCACTTTCTGACTAAGTGTCAGAGGTTAATTTTATGGGCCCAGTTTTAAGGCCTGTGAACAGCCCTCACTACTCTGAGAATCAGGTGCAGGTGGAGGTTCATCTTTAAAGCCTGAAGGCATTAAGTCTTTTGCAGCAGGTGGTGGCCCATAGTCTTGGGGACCATGAGTTGGAGGTGGTAATGGGGCACCAGGAATGAAGTACTCTAAGAGAAAAGATGGGCTTTTCTTCTGTCTTATAGGAGATTACAGACCTGAATTGATTAAAGATGATAGAGCCTTCATCAAACTCATATCCAGAATTTAGTAATTCAAGAGCAATGACCGATGCATCTCCAAAAGTAGGGGGCTTTTTTTTTTTTTTAGAAGGCATGTATTTTATTACTCTTCTATGTATTTGAGACAAAAATATTGACCAGCTAATGACACTCTTTCACACATCATGTTGATGGAGTTTACTACCACAGTTTTAGTGCAACAAAATATCTTTGAAAAGCCATTCTACAGTAATTATGGCAAGGCTCATTTGCAGCAAAATAACCGGGGGGTGACGAATAACTTGTGTACGTTGATACAGCAGGAGTAGGAGCCGTTTATTGCAGGACAGGAGCAGTATTTATACATTCCACACAGCTTATCTAATTAGCATAAACTAGATACATCAGTCAACCAATAAGGAATCTCCACAGTTAATGGCTTGTTTTTGTTACTTCTCAAACCACTCCCTCTGACATTTTGCCAGGCACCATCCAGACTTGTTTACGAACTCTAACATTCCCCTGGCAAAATTCCAGGTGTTACTTTGACTTGTTTACAGACTCCAACACAAAAGTATAATGATTCACATGTCTACTAGACATGTCCCTGAGGGCAGGGACTTTGCTACTGAATCTCCACAACTTTAACATCGATTAGCACTTGGTAGGTGTGTTCAGAACCTATTTGTTAACGAATCAAAAGTAGAAAACATACAGTATTTGAAAATTGTATCAAGAAGAGGAAACCTGCAGAAAATAACTTGAAGAACAAACATGAATTAAAATGCAGAATGCAACTAGTGCTGCAATTGAGAGCACTATTTTGGATATTATTACACTTGCCTCCTTCCCTCTCCCCAGTCTCTGAATCTTTTTAATTTTTTTCATATTACGCCTGAAGGGTTTTGTTAACTGCAATAACATACCACTGCTTATTTTTACAATTAAATTTTCAGCACTGTTAGTTCAAGATTTACAGTAACACTTTGAAAGGCTCTGATGTAGTTCGTTAATCCTGAATTGATCATGACTTGTGGTTCTCTGCACTTTTAGGCAGGGTTTGGCATGATTGTCTCTGGTGCTGTAGCTTTTTTTTTTTTAATCCATCTTCTGAGGTCAGAACTATGCAAAATTAGAATGATATTTGTCAAACCCCCTACCCCATATCTTTCTCTATCCCTGTGAAATACATGCTGAATAAAATGGAGTTTGGCAATTTCATCGAATATATTTCTTATTGGGGCAGGATTAAAATTGTGTGCTCTTTGTTTGTGGCAGTAAAACTATGTCTTTTGGAAAGCAGCATGTTCAGAATGTATAATCAGAAATCAGAGAATGAGAAGTTATAATGACGCTTCAATACCAACCAGGTAGGGTTTTCCTAAATGAGAACCATTTATTTAGAGAAGAGCATTTAGTGGAAATGTGGATGTGCCTGGGATTTAGGGTTTAGCTGCAGTGATCACAGAAAGTATTATATTTATTCATTTATTTTTTGATACTGAGAATTTAACCCAAGGGTGCTTAACCACTAAGCCCTATTGAGCCCTATCTTCCACCCCATTTTCATATTTTATTTAGTGAAAGGGTCTCACTGAGTTGCTTAGGGCCTTGCTGAGTTACTGAGGCTGGCTTTGAACCTGTGATCCTCCTCCCTCAACCTCCTGAGCCGCTGGTTTCTATTTCTTCAGTAATATTTCTTCATTATAATAATCTTTTCCCTTACATTGTAAAGCACAGTTATGGAAGTTTTGAAAAATCTTTGCTAAAGCATCAGTGGACAACTGCCTTTTTGAGGGTAGTCTGAGACCTGCAGGTCTTTTAAACAAAAGTTTAAAAAATCCAGTTCTTTTAAACAAAAATTAAAGAAAAATCCTTGCCTCTTAATTCCATCTGGATTCTCAAGGTTGATATTCATTGATTTGTTTCCCCCTGATAATGGTCATGTTTTTATGTCTTTCCCTGGGTCAGTAATTTTGGATCATAGCCTGGAAATTGTAATTAAGATTCTGAGGATATCTGAGTTCCATAATATTCCTCCAGAGAGTACTGATTTTCGTTCTTAAATCATGTTTGACATTTAAATCAGCTGGCCTCAGACTGAAACTGCTTCCCACGTGTGGCAGTTCAAATCTCAATTAGGTTCTTCACATTATTTTGATTAAAGTCTGTTCTGTTTGCTAGCCAAGGTATGCGCTAGCTAGATATGTGGTGGCATTTATACACACATTTTGGGAATTCCTCCCTTTGGTTCTCTCTTCCCAGGGTCTTCTCACTACCAAACTTTCCATCATATTTGCTTGAACTCTTCTGAGTCTTTTTCAGTTGGAAAACTGCAGATTTCCTCACAGAGTTTTAGTTGCCTTCAGTTTTGCCAATTGGGACTTGCTCCCAGTCCATAAAAAGCAGAAAACTCCGTCATTCACTCCTGACAGTGCTGAAACCACCCAGGGGATCTGCCTGCACTTGCTCATTCTCCAGGGCCATTGGATACACACCAACACATATATTTTAAAATATAGAAAATAGGTAAGCTTATCAAGTATTCTAATATTTAGTCTAGAGTTTACATAAAGTTGGTATCTGCTGAAACTTCAGTATATCAGGAATTACTTACTATATCAGGAATGGAACCCCATATAAAAGTATTTAAAATGCTTCTACCACACTCCTCTTTTGCTCTTTATAGAGGCTTCCCAACCATCTCATGCCGATTCATGAACTGTCTCACAGATGACAAATTTCAGATTTGATCAATTGTTACAAATTTTTAAAAACCCAGGAGGGTTGCCATTACACTGTAGCCTCCTTCTCATCACCCCTGTAGCATTCTGAAGCAGACAGACCTGGTATTGGCACTAGTGTGCACAAAATGTGTGCAGGCCACAACTGATCTGAACCACACAGCATACCTTGCATCATCCAGCAAACACTCTGGCCCAACTGTCTCTTCTCTGCCTTTTCTATAATCACTGGAAAAATACATGACCAGCTTTCCTTCTTGCTAGAGTTTCACGTAAGATGAAGTTCTGGGCAACTGGCAACTTGCTGGCCTTTCCAGGCTTACTGGGGTGGGGGGGGGGGGAGAGATTGGTCAAGAGGACACACAGTGGTAGTGTGAAGAGGTGACAGATGATGGATGCCATATGCTTCTGAGTTCAAAGGGGCCTTTTAAAAAAATAAGAATGAAAGAGGTGAGCTCCAAGAGGGAAGTGGCAGTTGCAGAATTTGATTTGTTTGAAAGTGAGATGACAGTGTATGGTGTCCAAGGACTGAGAGGCCAGGTTTTAGATGTTGTACCCTGCAAGTCCTGTGATAAGAGAAGTGGCAAGGGGGAGAGAATGAGTGTGGAGAGAAAATCTGTCAGGGAGGAAAAGGGAGAGTCAGATTGTTGATGACTGGATGGAGAAGAGCAGTGGGCAGTGGGCAGTTTGACATGAAAATCCATGCCAGGGAAGCAGACTTCGAGAAAACAGACATCCCATTTCCAGGCCTCGTGCTGAAGGCGTGAGAGAGAAGATGGATATCAGTATTTCTTCTAATGAAGTTATTTAACAAAAATCTGTCTAAATATAAGGATGTAAAAATGAATATTGCTGCCCCTAACCTGTATGGGCAGCTGAACTAAGGGTCGCTGGTGTGAATCTCCTGGGACACCAAGTAAAACACAGACACACACTTTACCTTTAAATAAAGCTCTCGGCCTCAAGCTCCCCAAATGGGAGAGTGAGGAAAGTCAGAGAGGCTGGCAAGAGAGAGTGAGCAGTTTTGGAAGTGAGTTTTTATTGGGGGG